GTAATTTTGGGCACTAAAGCTGAAACACCTCAAAGGAGCTTAATTAAAAGATACATACTCAGTCATGTTCCTTTTAGGCTTAAGACTTGTGTTCCTTTTTAGGCTTGTGGGACAGCTCCACAAGCAGCAACACTGATAAAACATCTCAGTGATGCCAAATCAGGGGAGGTCTCACACCTCTCTCCCCTTCTCTGATCCTTCTCTTGCATCCCCAGCCACATGGTCCTGCCCTCCCTCCTGCACCAGCTCTGGCATTCATTTGCCTTCACTGAACCAATTTTACTCAGCAAAGATGGGAAATCCATCTGTGAAGGGTACCCCAGCTCCATACTGTTATGAAATGGCAATAAGCCACATTTCACTTTACAGAATAAGCAACGCTAAAGACTGACACATTCAGGTACTACGTTAAATACTGTAAACATAGACATTAACTTCACACTGGCCACCCAAATAGCAGTCTCTGGAGGGACCATGCAAAATTTAACTATCTTCTAAACCATAGGGATCAGCTATTCAGGCTAGGAATGAGGGCCTCACTGGGACAGCTTGTTCTGCTGCTGTCCATGCAACACTAATTTTGTGCCTCACATGATTTGTTCAGTATGTGAGGTTTTCACCTCTCACACATAGATTAACTTTCACTTCCTTTGTGGGGTTAGTTGGTTTGTCTTTCATTCACCAGGTTCATGTGAGAAAAGAACCCAAGTCTGGCTTTTAAAAGAACTGCATTTATACTCAAAGCTCTCCAGGAAGCTGCACGGTGGCTACCTTATGCACAGGAGACTGATGCTACATTTTACTCACAGTGAGGCCATATCGTGGGATGCTGAAGTACTTCAGCCAGTTCAGCCAGTCCATTACAGAAGGGAGGTTTACTAAGAGGCCAGAAAAGATCTGAAACAGAACATAAGAAACTGTAATGGAGGCACAAACTCTTGTCATTGCAAGCACTACCATTCCTGCACAGATATTATATTTGTATCCCTACCCAGCACCCACCACTTGTCCCGCAGAGGTGCACTGTCATGGATGGAACTCCTACTGCTGTTATGCTTGCGCCTACAAGCCCAAGTGCTAACCTTGCAGCAATGTCAGCCAACTGGCCTAACAGCACACCTAAGTATCTCAGTTGTAAACAGCTTACAAAGAGGACAGAAAGGCTTTCTACATCTCCATGTCAGCTACAAAGGGACTGCTAGCAAGACCTTACTCTGGAGGACTGTGTCCTATGGTAAAGCCAGCCAGAGGCTGAAGAATGATGACTGGGAAATGAGGAAGGCTCATCCTCGTAGGTAAACTCAGGTAGTGTGGGTTAGATGAGTGGACAGTGAGCTGGATTGAGAACTGGCTAGATGGCAGGGCTCAGAGGGTTGTGGTCAGTGGTGCAGTCTAGTTGGAGGCCTTTAGCTAGCAGTGTCCCCCAGGGGTCAGTACTGGGTCCAGTCTTGATCAACGTAGTGATCGATGACCTAGATAAAGGCACAGATAAAGGCCAATGGTCTCCTGGGGTGCATTAGGCAGAGTGTTGCCAGCAGGTGGAGGGAGGTGATCCTGCCCCTCTCCTCAGCCCTGGTGAGACCATACCTGAAGTACTGTGTCCAGTGCTGGGCTCCCCAATACAAGAGAGACATGGAGCTCCTGGAGCAAGTCCAGCAAAGGGCTACTAAGCTAATTAAGAGACTGGAGCATCTCATATATGAGGAAAGGCTGCGAGAGCTGGAACTGTTTAGCCTGGAGAAGAGAAGACCGAGGAGGGAATCTTATTAATGTGTATAAGTTTCTGAAGGAAGGATGAGGCGAGTCTCTTCTCCGTGGTGCCCAGCAACAGGACAAGAGGCAACGGGCAGAAACTGAACCACAGGAAGTTCCATCTGAACCTGAGGAAAAACTTCTTCACTGTGAGGGTGAGAGAGCACTGGAACAGGATGCCCAGAGAGGTAGTGGAGTCTCCTTCCCTGGAGATATTCAAAACCCGTCTGGATGTGACCCTGGGAAATATGCTCTAGAGGACCCTGCTTGAGGAGGGAGGTTGGACTAGATGATCTCCAGAGGTCCCTTCCAACCTAAACCATTCTGTGATTCTGTGAAGTGGAGTAAACAAGAAGGAAACCATAGGGTGCCTTAGGGGCTGTTACTGTTTTAGTAACATACCTATAACCTGTATCTGTGCTCCTTACTGCCTAGAGTAAGGTTTATTCTTTCACTTCTTAGTGCAATTGGGCTTCATGGCTAAACAAGACACTTTAGGCTGTGCTTTATCTGAAGTATCTTGTGCTTATCTCTGTCCTGAAAGACATTGGGGTAAGCCATTCTTTATATAAAAGCTGAATCCATAAAAAAAACATGTTAGCGTGACTTCACTCATTGTCTATCAGCTGCCCTTCACTGCACATTCACAATACTCCTCACCCACAGCAAGTGTTTGAAGTGATCCACTATCCCTTTGCTTATTGCAAAGGCAGGTTAAAATAAGTTGCAAACTAAAAAATAAAAGATTTGCTGTGGGCTCAGAATATGTGCACAGAAAACTACCAGGAATCTCCTGACAAGAGGTAACTTTTTATGCTGCGGTAACCTTATAGACCTCACAGTCAAAAAGTTTCATCACTAACAACATCATCTCTTTGAAGAGAAATTACATCCCTCATCTATGTATAGACAAAGTTACTTTCTGCCTCACTTGCTATCTTCCCTAGACGTTCTTGAAGAAAAGTACTGAAGTAACTTCTGAAACTCCAAAGCAATACTGAATTAAAACGGAGAGGATATGTTCTTCCTGACCACACTGGGCAACAAGAGTCAATACGATAAAAATTAGGTTTGCAGTTTGGGGTTTTTTTGTTTTCTTTAATGATCTAGCTGCTTGTTTAGATTCATTATATTGGAAACTCAAGATCTTTTTAAAGAATTTTTATAAAGAAAATTTAAAGAGAACACTTTGAGACCCTAGGTTTACACAGCTCTTGTGGCTTTGTGCCTACAGAATTGCGTCTGAGGGATGATTTGACACGCTCTCAGGACTGTGGATTTTCAGCCTGCTTATGGTTGGCTCAATCCAGTCCTCTTAGCTTGTCTCCTAAACCCAACTGTGCTCTGTCAGTTGTCTCCTCACCCCTACCACCAAAGCAACACATGCAGAGACCCTTATATACTTACAAGCATCAGGACAAAACAAATACTGATGAGCAGATTGGCCACGGCCACCACATCCATCCCAGCACTGATAGCCAGCGACATGGCTGTGGCAGTGTAGGATACCAGTACCAGGGTCAACATGAAGAAGAAGAACCGGCCTGCAACAGCCTGGTAACCTGACAAAAATCAGAAGGCGAAAAGCCTAGTAAACAGCCACATTATGAATCCTAGAGAGGTATCCTTGGACTCCTACACAAGATATGGAAAGCAGGAAGAGAGACAGATGCAGCAATTGTGCATGCTCCAGAGGCCCCAATGAACCTTGCCAAAAGACACGGTCAAGCAACTTGCTATGTTAGACTGCGAGTGTCTCTGCCCCATCCAGGAGTACTCAGAAGCTATTCTGATGCCAAGCATTTAAAAATCAGTTGCGGGTTCAACCAGATTCATTGTACGGATACAGGAATTAACTCTGGCTAAGTCACAAATCAGACATGTTGGAAGATGACAGGTTCAGTGAAAACATCAATTCTTTACCGATCATCCAGTAACTGATGCATGAGAATATGATAGCTGGAGCAGTTCTCATGGGCAGCAGATCTCCTAACATCAAGGCTAGGAAGTAGGCAGACACACGGTAATATCCACTGGTATACTGATGGCTGTGAGGACAGAAAGGAGGGGAGTTGCACAGGTTTAGAGGTTATTGGGGAATAACACTCAGTATGTGTGTATGGTTTGTCCTGGTTCACTTTCTTCTGTCTGCCACTGACTCCCTCTCAATATGCAAGATGCTTATTTTCTGTGCTATCACTTCCTCATTTATAAAATAAGGCCAAATGCTGATCTATCTCATAGGCCCAGCAATGACACTGAAAACACTGAGAGAGGTTACTGGAAGGCTATGACTGCTAAGCAACATACTTGCTTATGGGGGAGGGGAGGTCGAAGCACCTAAAGCTCTTTTCAAGAGAATAATCCTGAACATGAGAGCAGGAGAAGTATTAAACTGCTATTACCTGGAGGAACACTGTATCCACAGCTTTCCCAGCTACCTCAACATACATCCTGTTTACAAGGGAGGGGGAGTGATAACAAGAATGGGTAAACACCTTTAGGACATCAACTTGCCTCCAGTTCACAGGACAATTAAATATCATTACAACTTTTTGCTGCTTAATAGAGCTCACAAAAAGATGCTGTAAGCGGTTAGGTGGGAAAATCCCTGCTGACACAGCTGAAAAACTAAGCTGATAAGCAAGGCAGCCTAGCAAGAAATGTCAGTGTGTGGAGATTTAATCCTGAACAGCCCCTTGGATCAATAAGGAGCTGCCCTGAGTAAGCTGTGGTAGACCTGGGCACATATAAACTTTAGGAGTCTCATGCTAGTGACTTACAGAAATTATATTCGTTTTCCAGGCTCAATGCCCCAGTTTCCTCTTTACTGCAGAAGATCTATCTCTTGCCCTCTCATCTAGTATGCTGGAGGTTATTCCAAACTACACTTTCCACCCAGATATATGGGTGCACTTGACTGTTAGGGAGCTCTTATAAAACAGCCAGCAGCTCTCTTCCTCTGAGCATCCTTTGTGAAGCTTTTCTAATAACTTTGTCTTCATCTTTACACCATCTTACCACCGTGGGATCATCGAAAGACAACTTTTCATCCCTGCAAGTGAGAAGACAGGCTCTGCTCTGGCAGGGAAGAAGAGATTTCAAACCAGACGTTACCAAAAGTAAGAAGAGTGCTTCCCAATTAACCATGATGCAGCAGGCAAAGAAAAGGGTTTTATTCCTCTCCTCCTTCCCCCCATCACTTGCCTTTTGTCATTACAGCTCCCTATTTTATGGATAAACTTAGTATTAATATTAGAATCTACTGTTGCAAGGGAGAAATCAAGTCTTGAGTCCTGGCAGGTGAAAATTGTTCTGGTTAGTCTGTAAGATATTTCCCCCCTCACTACAGAGGCAGGAGGAGACAGTCTAAGAGCATCACTACTTACACAAATAACTTCTTGTCTCTGATGAACAGCTCAATTGCAGAGACACTGGAAAAACACTGGTTTGTGGTGACAAAAAACAAAGAACCAACCCTGAAAGGGAGAACAGAACAGTCAAGAAGTTAGGAGACAGCCAAAATCAGCACTGATCAGTGCTTCTCAGTCTCTAGCCACAGTATGGAGATGCTTAATGGAGCTACTGTAGATCTTAGCTGTAAAGCCAGGCTTAATCCTTTGTCTTCCCCTTCATGTTTCCTTCCTCTGTCCATATCTGTGAGCCTGATGGGACAATGGCCCCTTTCGAAGCTCCAGCAATACACATGTTGCTGTGTGTTGAGGCTAGCAAACCCAAACCTCCATGGTGGTCCAGCAGAGCCCAAGGCCTTCCCTGCTGCTGAAGCCTGTCTGCTACACACAGGGAAGTGAGCAAGCTGCAGCTTTCCAACTTACCGATTTTGAATGCCACTTCGATCCAGTTTTGTGCCAAAAAAGATGGCACCCACAACCAGGGCTAGAATTACGGTCACTGCAATCTAGAAGAGGAAAGAAAAAAGGGAGAAGGGAGTGCTTCAGGTGGATAAATAGGGACAAGTCACTAGACAGTGCTCAGTCACTGAGATAAATGCAGGGTTTAGAATTCACACTTGCCTAAAATCTTTGCTGTTGTGAGTCAATGCGTGCACGCGTGCGCACACACACACACACACACACACCTTCAGCCAAATTTTCCTGATTTAGGCTCTTCACTTTTTTTCTAGTCTTTCCCAGCCAAGATGATCAGAGGAAGCAGAAGCACGCTCAAAAAAATAATCCAGCTTGAAAATTTCAAGTAAGCCACAAAATTAACATCACCTGGAAACTCTGCATATGAACTGAAAGATGGAACATTTCCCTTGACTCCCCAGTCTTCAGTGCAGTAGTCCTTGTGCTGAACTAAAATGGAGATTTTTTTGAAAACAAAGGGAGCTGGCCATTTCACTCCACTTAATGGTAGTGGCACAGGACTTTCCTATTTCCCTAGCTGCCTTTGAAAAGAAAATTAGTCCTACAAACTGCAGAGTGAGAGGACTGAGGGACTAAGAGCAGAAAAAGTCTACAACCTTTACTGACTGTTACCTACCTGTGCAACAGAGGCCTGCGGATTCCTGATGAGGTTTTTCAGAGAACGCTTGGACACCCAGTACAGCTGGGTGAGGAAACCATTTGCATAGGTAATCTCATGTCCCTTCTTGGATATCCTCTGCTTGCTTCCCTGCCCAAGCTCCACTTTCCTCAATGCTTCCCTTGTGCTCTGATACAGGCTGGAGTTGAGATACTTCTGGTGCAGCAAATCTACCACACTGCTGTCCACGTTCTCCTCTGCCACTCCATTTTCACCACTCACCTCTGAACAGCAAAGACAACATAAGGCTTGTAATTCCCCATGAACCTTACCCTCAGACAGGCATCATCTCTGGAGGCTGGATAAAATAGCAGGAATCCTTAGAGTATTTGAAGTGTTCAAGCCTCAGCTCTGCATTTAGGAGGTTAGCTTGAGTGAGGGGCTTTCCCTGCAATTTTAATCCAACCTAGCCTGTTGCTTATGGCACAAACATAGCCTCCATCTCAGAACCAGCCACCAGAAAACTTTCACTTCATTGAATCTTGAGGATCAATGTTTTGCTCAGATCCATTCCCCCATGCCCCAAAGGCACCACTACGAGAACTGTTCAACAGGTGTCTAATGTACTTTTATAATCCTTCATTCATGGTTATGCTACAGCATCCACAGCATTTCCAGCATTTCAGTCCATGTAGTGTTAGAGTTTGTTCTCATATCTAGTTGCAATGTTTCTCACGGCCATGTAAATCCATTGGCCTATCTACTGTATCTTCTCTACAGCAGTCTCTTACATGACTAAAAACTTCTGTCTGCTCTCAGCTGTCCCTGGAGACTAAGCAATTCTAGTTCTTTAGGCTTTCCCACGTACCATGTTTTGTAGACTACTACTATTTCTCACTGCTCTCCTATATTACTGAAGGAAACAAAATCCCTTTAAAAGAGTTTTCTGAGATCTTTAAAGAAACCCAGAACAAAGTATATCTATTAGTAGGAATAATTTAATGAAAAGGAACCCTCAGATTAGAGGAAAACCAGAGGATAAAAGCTCAGTATCACCATATGCTATTTCCCTTCTACTCCAGCAAACAGTGGATTTTTCCTTCACAATTTTACCTCTTTCTGTGTCCACAGGTCTGTAATCTTCCTTGCTTGCTGCCACAGCAGTTGAATCACCATTTATGACATCAAGGAAGAAGTCAGCTGGGTTATTGAAGGGTTCACATTCATATCCTTTCAAAAGAACAACCACAGCATGTTTGTATTGCAGAGAGCACATCTTGGAGAGTCAGGCCTAATAGTACGGTTGTGGAAAAGTGACGTAGAAGAACCGCATAGCTCTCCATGAGCATTAGTTTACAGCAGTAGAATGGACAGGATTTTGGAGATGGGGAAACTGAGGCATCAGTACTGAGCTGCAAAGCCAGTTATTCCCTACTGACTTCAGATGAGAAGAAATCTGTAAATTGCTTTTACACAGCTCAGCATGAACAGCTCTGTCTCCTTCCCAATGCCTCCTCATTAGGTGTTGCTAGATGTCTGCTCTGCAGCCTCAAATGCTTGGGCTACTCTAGGATCTCAAATCTTGCTTGCTTTTCCTTGATCACAAGGAAGAGAAAGTGTTGTCCAAGGGCTACATTTCATAATATGGTTCTAGCCATGGGATGGGGAGGAAAAAAAGCAGGGATGTTCATCCTATAAAATTCCTGTGAGGAAGCAAGCTGAGGGAGGATACAAAGGAGTAAAAGGAGTAAGATTGGTTATAGCATCTCCCCCAAAGCCAGGGAAAGCCTACAATCTAACATGTCCACGGCAGGTTTCGAAATCCACTCTACATCCTCTGTCCATTGCAATTAGAACCCCTCATCCTGCTGACTTGTACAGGGAGCAGCTACCCAACAGTGCAATTATTAACCCACCCTAAGACACACCATGACTCAGTCACCTACCTGTACCCAGACTAGAGTGGATTCTTGGACTGGCCTCTACAGATTGCTGCCAATCTGCAGGCTGTCATTCAAGAGACCCCCTGGCTGTGGTAGAAACACAAACATCTCGTTTGTTGTATGCATGTTTCTAAACATGCAAGAAGCTGCTGTTTCTTTGGCCTGGTGCATGGCAAAACAAAGGCAGAAGAGACCAATGCTCTGTGCTGTCTGGAAGACTGCTTTATTACTTCTTATTTTCCTAGTTTCACTCAAGACTGTTCAGACTGTACACATACAGCCTCTGGGTATCCTAATAATAAAGCAGCAGAGGAGTTCTATCCAGCACTAGGGTAAGAATGCCCCTGCAGATTAAAATTGTTAGCTGTTACCTTTGCTCTTGGTACAGAGGACTTACCAATAGAATGAAAATATTCCAGGGCCTGCTTAGCAGGACCATGGTACAGCACCTTTCCCAAAGCTAGTAATGTCAGACTGTCAAACAGTTTAAATATGGAATAGCGGGGCTGGTGGATGGAAAAGATGATGGTCCGGCCTCTTCTGGAGAGCCTGAAATAGAAACAAAACATCTCTCAAATACACCACAGTTTGCATTTCAGAAAAAAAAAATGTTAACCCCAACAAAAATTAACCTTCCAAGACTGAAACAAGCACTTGTTAGCTTCTAAGAGTCTCAATTTAGTAAAACAGTAGTTTCAGTTTCTTCCACTGTGTCACGCACTGCTTGCAAGACCTTCAGATAGCACCCATGATTATAACTGTTATTACAGTTCAGGTAGGCAAAGTATGATGTTGCCTGTGGGTAAAAGTTGAGGGCCACAGCTGCTACGTAAATCTTCCTCACACATCTCACACATCTTCCTCACAGCCTCTATATCAGGCTTCAATTTAACTAATCTGAATGGTCCTACTAAACTTAATGGCATCTCCAGGGCCTGCTAGGTAAAACCTGGAAATCTGCCCACCTAGGAGATTTCTCTTAGCTCTTGTACTGAGCATCTACTCTCTAGAGAAGTCAGAACTAGTTTTCCTTCAGGTTTGTGAAAAGTGCTTTCAGGTGCTTTAGCACTGATGCTCAAATGTCCTTGCCGATCAAAGACCTCTGTCCACAAACAGCAGAGCTGAATGTCCCCACAAGTAAAACCAGACAACATGCCAAACACAGGAGGAGGATTAGGAACATGTTCGCATGAAGTGATCCTTGTTTAGTCCTGTTTGTACCACAGGCCAGTTTGTTTCCAAAACAGAAACAGGGGATGCTCAGGATGAATCTACAGGTGAAATCTGATCTCAGCCCCAGGCCCTTGCCAATAGCGGAAGAGCCTTTGTAATAGACTGATCTGGAAGGCCAAGAAATTATGATTACAAGCCCTGACTTCCCAATGCACCCCTCTCTGTGGCAAAGGGAAGCTGTCCAAGCTACATCTGCTTTTTGGGCTTCAATCCAATGTTTGCTATAGGAAGTGTCCCATCAACTTCAAAGAGCTTTGGACAAGGCCCAGATAAAGAATTAACTTACATTTCTGAGTCTACTAGTCCAGCTTTTTACCAGCGCTATAGCCACTCAGTCATAGCAGCATTCCTTTTTTAAATAATGAGCTGGTAAAAACATCCCAGCAGACCCCTGAAGAACTGACTCTTACTTCTTCAAAAGGATGAGCACAGCATTGGCTGTGCTGGAGTCAAGGCCAGTTGTTGGCTCATCCAGAAAAAGGACCGGTGGCTCTGTGATGAGCTCCATCCCAATATTGGTTCTTTTCCGCTCCCCTCCAGACACTCCCCGGATCAGTTCGGTTCCTACCTACAGAAAGAAGTGTCAGGCATTCAAAACAAGACCCAGTCAGTGCCCGTGGTGGAGTTCAGGGCTCACCACACCCTGCAACCCTTTTCGTTTTCAGAGAGTCCCATTAGTGAACTCTAGGGCTAGCAGCAGCAGATGGGTCTGACTCTTAAAGGGCACATTAGGTACTACATTGCAATAAGAAGATAGTCTGATTTTCAGAGGTGCCAGGCACCTTTTGACTTCAGGGAACAAAGATGGCACTGACAGGGAAGTGCCAGGATGAGGCCGCAGCTTTTGGAGACTGCTTTGGTGTTCAGGGATGCCTTTCACAGGTAGCTCACCTGCTGCCTGAGTGAAAGGAGAGATACTGCCCTGAGGAACAACCTCTGCAAGAACATCTCCACCACAGCCCAGTTTTCCATCCCTCACAGCTTTTAGCACTGTGAAAACAATTTCCTTGCCTTGTCCCACAAAGCCAGGAAGTGACTGAGCAGCTTTCCAAGGTGCTATGACTAAGCAACTTTTTCCCCTCTGCGTTTTTACAACACGCTGGACATGGTCCAAGATCTTCCCCTTTTGGGAAGAAATACATCTGCTTCTTCCAAGCTGTCTCTAGGGCTGGACTGATTTCCTGTGTGCAATACAGTTCAGCCAGGTTCCTGCTTAGCCTAGGGTGGCTGCACTTTTGCCATATTACCCAGCATTGAATAGTTTGGTTTCCAGAGGTAGTATGATTTCTAGGACAGCTATTCTCACTACTCACCTTCACATCAGCCACTTTGTTTAACCCCAGCTCACTGATAATCTGAGTCACTCGCTCTTCCTTCTCTTCAGTGGTGATGGAGCTAGGGAGTCTCAGGGCAGCAGAGAAGTGCAGGTTCTCTCTCACCGTCATTGTGCCCATGACAACATCATCCTGAAAGCAATACAAACTGACGGTTGAAAAGCCTCATTCCCAACTACCTGAATGGGCACCAGAGTCCCTGTAGTGGCAGTTGCTGGATAAAATGTTTGGGAGCCACAATGGAAAATAGACTGAGCGACAACCCCTGCTTGAAAACTTACAGCACACATGAAGTTCGAGGTCACTCAGAAGCAGCTAAGGGTATACCCCATCTCTCTGGGCTCCCAGCTTGCACCTGGCACCAGCCAGTACCACCTCAGCCTGCTTTTTGGCTCAGCAGTTCAAATGCAGAGGAGTTGTATAGGCAGTACATTTTCCATACAAGCCACGGGGAGGTAGAGGAGGTAGTTGGTTTTGGAAAGAGCTAAACTGCTAGTCCAGCTGAAGCCAATGGATGCTGCTACCGCTCAGCATTCAGGTCAGTCATTCAGGCAGTCAGCAGTCACCCAAGTCAGCTCAGTTCCCAGTTACAAGCCACGTTGTGCTATGCCCCAGAGCACCCACTGAGTTCAGCTGCAATTCCAAGGAGCTCTCCCCAGCTCCCCACTGGCAGCCAGCTCCTCAGAGAAACAAGGCCACTACCCCAAGATGCCTTCTTTTTTTTCCCCAGGCTCTCAAATATCTGCAACTCTTGAGCACAAGACCTTACTCTAAGGACTATCCTCGAGCAAAGCTTCAACATAGACACATGCATTTTGATTGAGAGTCAAATCTATCCAGCTAACAAACATCTGGGCAGCTTTGGGACCCCTTCTATGTCAGATGCAGTTGATTAGCTGAGCAAAGGATGTGCCAGCCAAATGTATTTGGCCTTGGAGTAAGCAGGGAAGTTTAACGTGCTGCTGTGCCAGAATTGTGACAAGCACCACTCAGGCTGTAGTTTTATGATAAACTGGTTTTGGTGTCAAAGCTGGTTTAGGAAATTCCTACCACCACTTCCCTCCTTGTGCATACCCTCAATCTCTCTTCCTATTCCTTGCTGCATTCCCCACCATCAGATCTACCAATACAACTCTTTGGGCTCCACACTGGAAATTTAACTGGGAATCTGTTAAGCCACCTTAAAAATCAAACCTAATGAACGGTGGATGACACTGTCACTTACAGGGCATTAATGGAGAGGCCACCATGAGTTTTATAGGGATACAAGTGACTTGGCATGTCTGCATGCTCATCTGCACAAAGCTGACCCTATATGTATGCTTTTAGGCATTACATGTTTATTTTCACTCTTTGGGCGATCTTTCTCAATCTAGGAAGTAGTGCATGGGGGTGGAAAGGGAGCAGTTTAATGTCTCCTATTTGCATATCATTTCAAGGTTAGGTTTGGTTGCTTTGTTACTTTGGACATTGGAGAGATGTCTCAGATGGGGACCTTTTGCAAGAACCTTTCTGGCCATTTATGAGGCACTGAGGATTTGGGGATTTTGACCTGGAAGATCAAGATTCAGTATCAGTCTTGTCAAATGCATCCTCTCAAAGACCTCTAACCAGCAGCTTTCAGAAAAGCTGCATATTCAGTGTTTATCTGCAATTAGAAGCCTGGATGGTTTCCAGATTCAGCTGCTCGTATGGCTGCCAAGAATCCCCCCCTTCTCAGCTCCCTCAGGGCTTCAAGGGTCTATAATTGGTCCAGGCCTCCACCCACTTCCCCAGATTCAGCTGGCTTTTCCTGTCTCTGATGGGGATGAAGCTCTGCCTAGTCAATCAGAATCAGAGGAAGAACAGCAGGGGTCTATTTACTTCCCAGAATTATTGTGCGATAGTTTGAAAGTGCTTCTTGCCAACTAAAACTGCTTCTGAATTTTACAAGGTTTTGGTGTTCTCCCTTCCATGCCCCTCCACCCCCCAACCCTGGCAAAGCCCAAAGAACAACTCAAAATAGCCCAGTGGTTAGGGCATCCATGCAGCCTCAGGAAGACAAACGCTTCCATGCTTGTCTAGGAGCAAGAGTTTGATCCTCTGTTTTCCCAGGAAAATATCCTAGCATCTGAGTTATCAAATTAGGCTCTGTACGGCTCACTGAGCATTTCCTACCTCAAGAGTTTAGGCTTTGCTCATTTTGTGTGACAGAACCTTGCCCTTTTTTGTTTTTTTGTTTTAAGAAGCTATTCCCCCTCCCCCACAGCCCTATTTGCTCACAAGGGAAGGCCCTGCAATCTGTCATTCATGAAGTGCGGTGAGTTCCCTCCAGTGTACCACCTCTTGCTTCTCATGGAGGACACCTTTCAAAGGCTTTACGCTGTAGCATGCCCTTGGTCTACACTTCCCTCCCAAGGGCTCCCAGGCCTCCACAGAAGGCTCAGTTACTCACCTGCACAACATATCCTGAGATGCACTTGAAATTTGGAGGTTGTGGGATGCCATCTATAAGCACTTCTCCAGACAGGCCTGCTGGGTCTTTTCTAGCTGCCAGAACATCTAGGAGACTTCAGATAAACACCAAGCATTAGATTTTGCCATAAAGACTGTTTTTATCTTTGAATGGATAAGTACCACAAGTCAGGACTGCTGTTACAGCCTGCTCACAGCATGCTGCAAACCAAACAAAGAGCACAGGAAGGGGCTTTCTCTACTTTGGGGCTTTAGCTTCTTATGCAGAAAGCCTGGTGAAGATGCAGGATTTAAGTGCAAATTGTACAGCAGCAGTATTGGTGGTATGCAGATCCTCACAATTCACAGCAGTCCCAACCCCCTACTGACATTTACTCAGTCTCCACATTTACAGCTATCCTCAATCGAAAACATACACAAAAGCACCCTGCCAAATAGCTGAAGTCTGCTCTCCAGCCAGTGGAGTGCAGAAGTAACTACTTTGATCTCAAGGAAATTAATCCAAATGGGTATAAACAAGATTAGAGTTAAGATTAACTGTATAAAAGTAATTTTGTTTTAACATATCTCTGGATTCTCCTTATGGCAGATGCAGAGGTCAGCCTGTCTGCTAGCTAAGTAAACACTGCCTTGATGAGGCTCTGCTCTTGAAAAGGTCTTGATTAGCTGGCAGTCTCCTCAAGATGAGGTTGATCAAGAGTCACCATGAAGACACACCTGTGTGAACTCTGGCCCTCTTTGCCTGTCCCTGACATTCTCAAAGGTAGAGTTCAAATTTGGTTCTACTGGAGAGAAATAGCATCAGCATTGACAGGAGATAGTCTGCAAGGTACTTCTCTGTGCTTTCATCCAAAGAACTTGAAATATTGCACACCCCCCTGTGAGGCCACAGGCAGGTTGGGGTGATGATACAGAACAGTTATGCTACAGAAAGACATACCATTTTCCTGGCAGTCCGCAAAAAGGAGGGCTCAGTCTAGCATCTCCAAGGAAGTCTTGCTGCAGCCACTTGACCCATGACTACTTCCCTCCTGCCCCTGAGGGAGCTTGCCAGCAAGACAGAGTATACACCTGTGCGACAGTCAGCCCAGTTCAGCTTAGTATCTTAACTCAGGCCGCCAAAGGTGACAGCAATAACACAGGACTATAAATCGGAGCAGAGGCAGGTGGGCATACGATCTGTTGTGGTGACCCCACTGCAGGGCAGGAGCCTCCAGCAGAGCAGGCAGCAGGAGGACATGATGCCACACCGCTTCACAAGATTTCTCACAGGCGTATGTCAAAGGCCCAAACCTGAAGATTCCTCAGGTCCTCCAGCCCTCACAGATTCCCATATCCCCTTCAAACAGAAGACTGAAGGAACAAAAGAAAATACTCACGAAGATTTACCACTGCCTGTTGGCCCCAGGATAGCATTCAAGCCTGGCTTCATAATGCCACTGGAAGAAAAAGGAAAGGATTATTCCCAAATGGAGGGCTACTCACGTGCAGTTCATAGTGGAAATGGGATGCGAACAAAATGCTGTTGAAAGAAAAACTGAAGAGATTAAAAACTTCTCCGTAAATCTCAAATCAGTAAGTGCTTTTCCTTTCTTGTCCCAGACTGCCAGTCAGGACAGAACCAGAGCTGGCCATAAAGTCAATTTACAGCAAATAGAAATTAAGGTGTCTTCCCTGCTGAGCTGGATCTGGAAAGAAGCGACTGCTCTTTGCTGCTCCTTTCCTCCTCAGCTCCAGCCATAGGTTAGGGAATCCTCAGCTCTTCCAACAAAAGAGTTCACATGAGTTTGATCCTAATTTACTCAGATATTTAATTGAAACTGCTCCAGCTAAATCCCAGCTATTTCACCTAAAGTAAATTAGAAGGTGATCACATGAACTGCAGACTGGCAGGAAGGCAGTCGTTTCTTTGCCAGCACAGCTAAATCTAGAAGATGACATGGATGTCACAGTTTCACAGCAGCAGGTTCATTCCTACCTCTCCAGAATTTTCTTTAAACAAGAACTTACTAAACATTATGAAGGATCTTCTTTTCTGCAGTTTTCTGTTTACACAGGAATCCACTGTACTGCTTGACAGAGTACTGAATGTCATGGAAACTCACAACAGAGCCCCGAGGGGATCGGAGGGACTCTCGTGTTGGAAATGAACGTTGGAAGTTGCCTGTTCCTTCCTCTTCTCCAACAGAAATGACACTGTGATCAGATGTGTCTGCCATCACGTCCTTGTTACACAGGTCAAACTCCACTGCCGGTAGTTTTTTGAGGTCACTGTTGTTTTGAGCAGTTCCCATCTGTTGAGACAAACAGCACAAAAACATAGAAGGAAGGAGAGATCTCAGTGAAGAAGTGTGTAGAAAGTTGCTTGGAAGAAGCAAGTTCATGCACACCACACCACCCTCTACATGGGCCAAGTTTCCAGAAGGACGGATATCCACACTGGAAGACATTCAGTAATCCACAAAAAGGCAGAAGCCCACTGATTTAGAGCAATAGGCACGGCCAGTTTTAAGAACTGGACATGTATGCGCTTGAAGAGGTGACATCAGCTCAAATAATTTCTGCTGAGATGAAAATCCAGCCCATCTGTGGTGGTCAATATCTTGCTTGACACAGTAGGGACTACAAATGCAGGCTCCTGCCACTCAAGCTAAGGAAACTCAAGCTCCAGATGTAACATACTTATCCCCTCTGCAAAGCCAGCAGAGGAAACCTTTAATGAACCGGTATGAAAGGTCACAGAAAGACTGTGGAATACACACATTCCTTACCATGATTGAATCGCAGTAGTGCAAAGATGCTTCACAGCTGCACAGAGGAAGAGGAGTTTGGATGTGTGAGCAGGCAGCATTTACCTTGAAGAACTGTAGGAGTTTCTTCTCCCACAGGAAGAGATTTGGGACTTCCCACAGTAGGGATGAGCAAGATACAAATCGGTATATTAAGGACAATTAAATATGGTATCTGTTTGTAATCATAGGCAAAGATATAAATAGTTGTAGTTCAAGCAGATGATCTGCCTGTGTAGCTCAGTGTAGGAGCACCTGAAAGGAACGATGTGTGAACAGCATATGGGAGAAACTGCTGTCCTTGCCCATAAATCACAGCCTGCCTAGTAGGAAACACATCAGTACTGGTATAACCAGCAATTACCATAATAACAATTAATATTGATATAACTGCTACTATGACTACTGAGTGTTTCTCCAAGGGGCTGCTTCCTTCCCTGTTGCTGTTGGTGTAACTGATTGCAACAAGTTTGAATCCCCTCTCTCATTAAAAACACATTTAAAGTTATTGCCTTGACACTGCATGCGAGAAAGGATTTGGAAGCTCTGCAGTCCCCCAAGTTCTGCAGCCTGTGTGAGACCTAAGCATAACTCCTGCCCTGCCTTTTAGCCAGAGGCCCTGGCAGCCATAAGCCCTCCTTCCCTTCTTCCAAGGGACTGTCACAAGGAAGAGGGGAAATACTGCATGCCCTTTCTAGAAATTGAACACAAGTGGAACTGAACACTCTTGTGGTATCCTAACACAAGTTAGTCCAAGCATTCACTTCCCTTCTTAGCTGCTGGGATGAGAGTGTTTGTTGGAAAGCTACAGAGCTGCTGTACTCTCATGGAAAACCAAGGTAGTCACTAGGCTAAAAGCAAGGAGGAGGAACTGTGCATTGAGACATCCAGAACTGGTTGGTTGGGTTTTGTGGAAAGGCAGATGTATCCCACAACTTGCCCTTTTCCCACCATCTGTGCCTGCCCCCCCAGAGTTGAGAGGGTGATAACCAGTAGGACCAATAATAGCCACCACTGCAGAGGATTTCTCAGGGAGCGAGATGGTCATCCTTTTAAGAAAAAGGAGCGACAAGAGCCAGATTTAAAGAAATAGAAACCACCTTTTCCTCTCTGCCTCTTCCTAACACTTAACAAAATGTGAAAAGTTGCAATAGCTTTTGCTGTTTAAATAAAATAAAAATTGGAGGGGAAAGGGTTGTTTGTTTAACTTGGACACATCCTGAATTTCAAGGCTGGTCACCCCTGGGAAAGCCTTAACTGCGGGAAGCGAGGAAAGATCTGCTAATTACATCAGCAACAGAAGGCTTATACACTTGAAAGGTTGCACAACACATGGAGGAAAAAAAGGGGAGGGGGCAGGATGACCATGGCCTGGTAGACTTCTGAACTCTTGACTGCCTTGTAAACCTCACATGTTCTGGATAGCCAGGTTCTTTATCTGAACAATAACAGCACAAACCCTTTTATAGGGGGTTTTGCTAGGTTACTGATTAGCACTGGCAAATTAAACCATTACTGCGGGTGCATGCAAGGATGACAGAAACATGAAAGAAGCATAACGCAGCTACAAGCAAGCATTAGACAACGGCGCCTCACAAGCAGTTACCAGTCCCCCACCTTTGCCCCAGGTGCTCGTTCCCGTCCCGCACGGAGCTGCCGCAAGTTTTCGCGACGCCGCGCAGCAGAGCGGGCTCGGGAGTTAACCCGGCAGAAAGACACGTTCACCCCGTCCGCCGAGGCGAG